GACCTGGGCACTGAGGTCCCCAGTTTCACAGAGGATCCCGTTTATATGCCTCTGTAGGGGCAGTAGCAATAATAATAACTAATATGTATTAAACTCTTATAAGTTTACAGTGCAGAGAATCTTCCTTGTGGAAGGAACTGACCTATGCTAAAGACTGGTAATACTGGTAATTGTCAGAGGTTAGAGGTTAGAGAGTTGAGGGTTTGATGGCCAGGATGGTATCATCATTAGAGAATTAGGAACAGCCCAATTCTCTGTCAGTGCATCCTTCTTTGATGAGATTCGATTGTGTGTAACACACAGGGCAATGTGCATAATAATGCACAAAGAATAAATAATTGCAGAACGGCAATCAAAATACCACTTTATCATTATCTCCCAATTGCCCCCAAGAGAGTACTCCTGGTTAAGCTGGAATGGAGTCTGGTTTAGACTTAAGGCCAAGCAGACCTCCTAATTCACCACAAAGACCTCCCCCCTCACCCCCCCCAAAAAAATTAAATCAAATCACAGGATTAGCAAATTTAAAATGTCTGCAGGGTGAGAACTAGTGCATGAGGAGAAGTTTCCCTGTAGAGAGCACCCTGGCTTAACTGACCGAGCCAGCAGTGTCCTGAATGAGGTTGATCAGAAGGGAGATGGCCGGTGCACACCATCAAATAAGGGTGGTTTCTGAGTCTTTCCATTCTACCAGCAGCTCTTCCCTGGAGGAGAAGTTGTATTACAAAGAAGGTGCAAGACCAGGACGCAGATGAACAGGCAGAAGCATGAAGACACGGGAGGGAAATCATCCCTCCTCTACAGCAATAGTAGTAGTAGTAATAATAGTAGTAGTAGTAGTAGTAGTAGTAGTAGTAGTAGTAAAAATAATAATAATAATAAAAAATAACATTTGGATATTATAATTTTCAGAGTGCATTTAAATGTACTGTTTAATCTTCATAACAATCATGTTAAGTAGTTGTTATTAGCCTTGGAATAAGCAGATAGCTTAAGTGACTTACCCAAGACCATAAGCCTAGTAAGTAGCAAAGACAGAACTCAATATCGAAAGGGTAAAGCCCACCAGCTTTCTGTCTACTACATCAGTAGCCGAGTTAATCTAGCTGGGGACTGCGAGTTGGATATAAGGGCAGATCCTGATACTATACCAAGCATCCCCACCAAGCGAGCCTTCACCTTCGTATCACTGGTCCTTCTAAGAGTCTACTGCCAGCACCTTTTTCTTCCTTGTTGACTCCCAGTGGAGGGGATTCTCTATCTGGCTATACCTTTCTAATTTGTAATTTACATAATTTAAAATTTTTCCAATAATTAATTAATTCTCAAACACAGAGGTTAGTCACTAGTCTAGGATCTATGGCAAAAGGCACCATCTAAACATATTGGCAACTCACTGTTAGCATGGTCTAGGTGCTGGAATAAACCGATGAAATAGAACTAAGAATACTAAGAATATGATTATTTATTACAACAAAAAAAGATGTCATTTCAAATTATTGAGAGACAAAATGGATTATTTAATAAATGATGAAAAAATAAATGGTTAGTTAAAAGAAGATTCAGTTGGATCTTTACCTTACTTCTTACCATCAACGTATAGATGTATTAAATATTTAAACATAAAAAAACAAAGCCACAAATGTACTGGATAGATAAATATTTTTATAATCTTGGAATGAGGAAGGGTTTTTTTCATCCTAAGATTATATTCATACAGCATATAAGTTTAAATTTCATATAGCAAAATAAATCACAAATAATATTTAAAGAGAAATAATGAACTGGGAAAAAATTATTTGCAAACTATATAATCGACCAGGAATTATTATCTGTACTATAGACAGAGCCCCTACAAATCAATAAAAGTAAACAAAAGCCCAATGAAAATGAAAAAGAATACATACAGGCTGTTCACAAAAGAAGAAATACCGAACATATGAACATATACTCCACTCTTAATAATAAGTACGGTTATACAAATAAAACAATAATTAAAATGTGGGTGTATGTGCATGTGTGTGTATTTGCCTATCAAACACGAAGAATAAAGAGATTGAGAAAATAGTGTGGGCAGTGTGTTGAGAAATGAGTATTCTCTTGCACTGGTAGTTGGCATGCAATTAACATGAGTGCTGGAGGGAAGTTTGATAACATATACCCAAATTTAATATATTCACACTTACTGTGAGCCCAAGAATTCTAATTCAAAGAATTTATTTTTATTGTGGTAAAACTGATATACTGTGAAATTTATCATTTTAACCATTTTCAAATATACGGTTCACATTCTTGTGTAACCGCCATCACCATCCATCTCCAGCACTTTTTTCTCTTTCCCAACTGAAGCTCTGTACCCAATAAAAACTAGCCATCCAGCCCCCTCCCCTCATTCCCTGACAACTATGTTCTAGTTTCTGACTCTAGGAATTTGAACACTCAAACGATTTATTTTAAGGAGAGAATAGTACAAGTGAAACAACATAGATGCACAAAAGAAGTTTTCATTCAAAAAATATTTCCAGAGGTCCTGCTATGTGCTAGGTAATAAACAAAATAGACCAGGTTACTTGTCTCATGTACAAATTATGATCTAAAGAAGGTAGACCATAAACAGTCATGTAACCAATAAAGCATTAGGTTTCAATAAGTTCTGTAAAGAAAATAAATAGATTCATGCGATAGTGATTTAGCGGGGTACCTAAGATAAGGCAGAAGGAAAGGTCTCTCAGGCATTACTTATACTAGCAAACAAATTAGAAAAATCTAAACATCTCAGCAACATCCTGCTAAGGTGCAGAGTCCACCTGGCCGGATGTCAGCACATGACAGTTCATTGTAGGCTCCGAGAGCCTTTCTCAGAATTACATTAATTCAGCGTGCCTTCTGTAGCGTACATTCCTGGAGAGAAAGCAATTCTAACATCTTGGGGTAGAAAATAATTTAGCAGGGGTACATGCCAACGCTGCTTTTTCTGAGAAGGAATGTGTAGATGACAGTTTTAAGTGTTTGATATCCAACCCCTCCTAAACTGTGAAATAGCAGCAGGGCGATCAAGAGGCTGATCTAAATCTTCTTTCTGTGGTTTTACTTTTGTTCTGGCAGGCTGAGTGAAAATGGAAAAAACTTACAGTGTGTACATGGGAAATATATTCTTCCCTCTTTCTTGACTAACTGACATATTGGAGAGCAGGCGTGAGTCAGGGGCAATGGCATTGCTTGTGATCGAGCTGAAATACATGGAACAATTTAAATAGCATCAAGGGCCTGGCCTAACCTTAGCCCAGGCAGGAAATTCAAGGGTAATATAACACTTTGCTGTTAAGTAATGCCATTGGAATAAAAGCATGTTTGGGATGACTTTTGGCTTTCACTTGGAATTTCTGTTTCATTTGCTTCCAGAAAGAACTTTTTCACCCCCTTAAAGTTAACTTGTATTTCAAGTTTTTGGAGCTGTATAAATACAATGTATACAAACTGGCCTGGAATCAAGGCTGTATGGCATAGATTACGCTGAAAAACAAATTCAGGACCTCAGCTTTAACTCTGGGACTTTCATGGCAGCAACTTTGCATAAGGTAAAGAGCAAGTCACAGGTTTGAGACCTCACTATTACTTATTAGCTATGTGACCTTGGGTGGATTATTTGATTTCTCACCCTCTAAAAGAGGAATGACAATAGAACCCACTCAGAAGATTTTCCTGAGAACAAACCAAAGACATGAAAAGCACAGTGCTAGCCCACAGTAGGGCTTTTGCTTTTTCCTTCTTTCCTGGGCTTCATAACTGAGACTGGCATTACTGACAGAGTAGAAAAGACTAAAATACACAACTGAAATTTATTTTTGTCTGAATTTCTTGGACATGGTCCGACTGATTCTCCCTGTTGGCGTAAGCCATACTTCTCCAGTGCTGCCTCCTAAACAGAGTTCAACAGGGATTGAAGCACCGTCTTCAGTTTCAAAGGAACGTGGACTAACTGGAGCATCGCTAGATAACCTGGGACGGTGTGGAAGACTCAGACTCAAGGAAGAAACTGCTGACAGAACTGCAGATGTTTAGCTCCAAATATTTGGAGGGTAAAACACCACGTGGAAGAGAAATTAAATTTATCCTGCATGACTCCATACCTAAAGATGGATTCCAGTTTTATATATATAGAAAACTTTTATTTATAAAATAAGATTGTCAAGGAAAGCTGCTGTCTTCTGAGGCAGGGGGTTCTAGAGGATTTCTATCAGAGAATAGCTGTTTGTTCTTTAGGAGTTGTGCAGGGAACTCTGTATCAGAAAAGGGATGGAGGAGGTTCCAGGGGCTCTCTTCCCAGGTCAGGAAGGCTGCAACTAAGGGAGCTACATCAATGCAACGTTTTGCTACAGGAACTTAAGGAGAACAGCCATGGCAAGGTGTAAAGCACTCACTGGAGCACACAGGCTGTGCTTACGCATGAACTTTAACCTTCTATAATAAAGGAATGTCATGCTGCATTGAAAATAAAGGCCTTTAACTGCTAGAAATGAAAATGTTCATACTGTAGAATAGCCTATCATATTTTATAGGTTCCTATAGACCCAGGGGCCAAATGAAACTGAACCAAGATCTTAGGCATTAAGTTACACTTTAATTTTACCTTTTCCCCCTGTGATTTTGACATAAGTGATTAAAAATGAACCTGGACCTTTGACCTACCCGTTTGGAGGCTGGTTTTGTTTTTTCTTTTCCTTTTTTTTCTTTTTCCCTTTTCACCTGCAAACCTCTGTTGATTGTTTCATACAGCCTTGGTCAACTGCTTTTAACAGCTAAACATTAAAGCCACTGAGAGCATAAACAGGAAGCTGGTGTTTAGGTGGGAGTTCCTAGGAATTTTATACTGCTGACCACAGAGGCCAAGAGAGAAAGGAAATAGGAAAAACAGTGTAAATACCTGGGTGACTAATAATTTTGCCCAGCTCAGCTAGCTTTTCTGAACATTTAATAGGAAGTCTTTTCCAGGGGAAACACCCTGAAAAATTTTCAGGACCCCGCGTGGAATTAAAGGGCCAGATAGGGACGTTTACTGCACAACGGTTGTTTGGTTCTGTTCACTGGCGACCTGGCAGAAAAGCTGCCTATTTCTGCAAGTGATCCGCTCCATTTGCATGCGTGGTGCAGACATTTTGCGGTCACCAGGGTTCCCAGGCCACTGATCTGTACATGCTTGTCTGGCCACCTCTTTCCTCCTTCACTTGCAGAGTGCCTAAGAGGATTTAGAATCAAGTGGGCGCATTTGCACGGCCTTGTTCTGAAGAGGCAGCTGGAGCACGGCCGTCGGCCTGGCGCAGACGACCGCGGGTCCCGAGGGACGCTTTGTCCTCCGAGGGGCCGCCACGGGGACTCCATTGTGCGCCAGGCAGGCCTTTCTCTCCTACCCTCTGTCTCCCCCGGGCCCCTTCCCCACCCCCTACACAGACTTTTCTCTCTAGCCGCCCGGACCCCCCGCTGCCACATTTCCCACGCAGAGGCGCGGGCAGGGCTCGGCCGGCCATCTGCACGCGGAGATTGACAGCAGCCCCGGAAGGTCAGTGCCTCAACGATTTCTGTCTGAACAGCAGGCCACCCAGGCCTCCCGAGCAACACAGGGACATCTGCTCCCCTTAATTTAGAACGCTGGTTCCAATTTCACCGTAGCCCCTTGCTAGACGTCGTCCTCCGGCTCCCGGGGGAGGGGCCGGGTTGGGGCCGGGCAGACGCACTGCCGCCCCCGGCTCCCCAGTTCAGGCGAGAACAGCTGAGTCTGGCGGGATGGGAGGGGTAGGGAGGTGGGGGGGCCGGGCCACTCACGTGACCTGGGTGACGTAGTAGGGGAGGGGCGGGTCGATGCAGTGGGCACGCAGGTCCCCGAGCGCCGGCGACGCATGGATGCGACCCACGTCTGCGTTGGAGAGGGCTACGCTGGCCGGGTGTGGGACCCCGCTCTGCACGGAGGGTTGGGCAGCCCCGCGCCCCTCTCCTCGATCTCAGGTGTCGCAGTAGATATTTGGCTCTCCCACTTGGGCAGGAAAGTTTATTGCAACCAGTGTGAGGAATCCAGCTCTCCCCTCCCTCGTGCAGGTCCCTGCGCTGGCAGTTTTAAAGCTGTCCGTCAGCGGGCAAGGCCAATATCCTGCCTGGACAGTTGATATCAGCGCTTATCCTGCCTTTTCTGCTTCGTATTTGGGCAAAAAGAGGAAAGAATTGCACTTCTGTTGAGATTCCACTTAGTAGATCATTAGCTCCTTGAACACAGACATCGCATCTTATTCATTATGCCTCTACCGCAGAACACAAATGTTTGGAGACTAAGTGTGTGTGCGTGTGTGTGTGTTGAGGGGGTTGTTGTGAGCAATGAGTGTAACTGTTCTCTTTTTTAATATAACGGGAAACAAGATGTTGTGGAGAATGAACCTGCACATACGGCCCGGCATGAATTACTGTGCTGCGTCTTTTCCTTCTTTCTTCTTCCCCTTCTTCCTTTCACAAACTATTGAGTGCCCCTATGTGTCACATACCAGGCAATGGACTAGGGATATAAAGAAAGGAGACTCCCGGCCCTCCAGATGTGGCCACTTTGTGAGAGGTGCTGTGTAGGGGTAAATAGCTGACTAGGGCTCTGGGTGATAAATGCTATTGATAGGACTGGATTCCCCCAACCCACTTTACCTTCTGCTCATTCTTCAGGCTTCGAATGAAATGTCATATCTCTGATGTCTTGACAAGATAAGGTTGTCCCATTAAGTGACTCTGTAACATCTGACACTTCTCTTTTGTGCTACTTATGACGTGCCGTGTATAAGCGGGCAAAGTTCAACGTCATTGTTCAACTGTAAGCTTCTTGAGGCAGAAACTGGCTTTGCTATTCATGCATAGTTACCATACCTAGCACAGTGTCTGCTCCATTGTGTTCCCCAAATACTTGGTACACTGATCGACAATCAGACTTTTCTTAAGTTAATGAGAAAACCATTCATACATTTTCCATTTGGGATGTGAGGCCAGACCGTGACTACTCCATGTTTTGAGTACCACATGGGAAGAGAATGGCCTTGGTTTAGAATTTATTATTTTGTAATATTCTGCTGCTCAGTGATTTCACAACCGTCTTTTGCAGAATCAGCACGAGGTAGGGGATTCTCAGAAAGAGATATCATGAAACAAGTTTGGGGGAGAAAGGTTGAGCCCTGACAAACAGATTTCTGAACTGTAGGATTTCAAAGAGCTTTTAATGTGCTTAGGCACAGTGTCCTACCCGAGACTGTTTGTTTTCGAGGAGCATCTAGTAACATTTTGCAGATGGGGGATAGGGATGAAGCTAAATGGTAACTTGCCACACCATTTCTCCCAACTCCTCCTAGGCCCTGAGAGGTGGAAAGACAGAGCTAAATAAGACTAATGTGCCAGCATGAAGACTGGTTTTTTTCTACTTGGTTCCTTTGTTACATCGTGTAACAAATTTGTTAATTTGTTCCTTGTTTTTTGACAGTAAGGAGAGAATAGAGGATGTAGATTAAACTGTTCGTAGCAAAGTGCTGCCAGAGTTGGAATTCAGCTCTACCACTTTTTAGCTGTGTGATTTCGGAGGCAGCCTTTATCCTCTACGTGCCTCAGACACTTTAGTTGTTAATAGAAGTAATAATATCTATCTTAGAGTGGTGTTAAGATTTTTAAAAGCACTTGTATGTATTTAGAATTCTCAGGTATAAATTTTACTTAAATGCTAACAACTGATTAATTAAAAATTGAATATTCACTTTCTAATAGATCAATTTAACTAAGACTGGTATTAGTGGAGAGGGGTCACAGGGTCACAGAGGACCATGGTCTGAGGAATGAGTTTTTCTCTGCTTGCTGACTTCTGAGCACAAGTGAAACATTCTGCGTCTGCCGTCCTGTTCTTGCTAAGATTCCAAGTTTTGTAACAGCATTTGCTGAGCTCTCCCTCCAAGTAAATTTGTGATTCCATTACTGTTTTTTCTCTAATGGAGCAGTGGAGCAGCTGTCTATCAAGATTAAAAATTTTAGCCTGCAATCTGTTTTCTAGGACTGAGTTAGTAGCCAAGTGTGAAATTCCTCAGCAACAGGTTTGTGATCCAAAGGACCACATGACTTTAAACAATAGAGACCTCCTTAGAATGAAAAAGTAAATAGAATCTTGCCCTGTTTGTTGCAGCTTAATTTGACCATGGGAAAAAAAATCAATATGGAATTTTCAGAAAAGGAAAATTTTAAGGGGCTACACTGTTAGACTACCGTGTGAAAATTCACATTGTTTATAATTGCACTTAAACTGTCCTTAAAAGAAAATTGCTTCTGGAAATTCAAAGGTAGTCTGAAAACGAGTGGAGACATGGTTTCTTACCCATATGTATAATATCAACAGTTTTACTCCTTCAACTCTTTATTTTCTGCATAGGGCATTAACTTGGACAGAGTTTGCTACACTAGATGTTTGCAGTATATCTATTTGCAGATATAATCAACTGTGCATTCTTGAAAGCATCATACTTTGAAACAGGAAGCAAAGGACATACTTTTAAAATGTTGGCTCTTTTGATGGATCGCATCTTGATGACTAGAATGGTACTCGGCCCGTGTATCCTGACATCACTTAACTCTTACAGGGGGTTACTACATAAGGATAAACAATTTGCTAAACACCAAAAAATTATCTATAAGAAGGTGCTTTAAAAGCAGAATCCAGTATTAAATGTAGAGTGTGCACGGAGCGCCTCTTCGGTACCACCCTCACCTTTCGGCGTCCCCTGTCCCTTATTCCAGCCATTGATGCAGACTCTGAGCAGGTGCCTTCCTGTAGGTACAACCTGACAGGGCCTTGCCTCACGGCCATGCCGCACACCTTCGCCGGAGCTTCCAGAGTCTGCCTTGGAGATTCTCTGAGCCATATGGGTCCTGTGCATTGACTAACTTTGAAATACAGGGGAGTGCATTTTGGGGGCAGACCTTTAACCAATGAAGCATAAGCGCTAATGGATAAATGCTTTCTTTTCTTCCTCCAGATGGACAGTCCTGAGACATTTTTCATACAGGCAGCCCAGAAGAAGCCAGCAACCATTCGCCAGGAGCTGTGGCCAGCCTCATAACTCATTCGTGTATTGGTTTTTCATCTTTCTCTGCTTCATTCTTCTCATCCCTTACTCCTACTCGCTGGATCACATTCCCCAATGAAGTATTTGCACTCAAGCCTTCGTCTCAGGATCTGCCATCTGGGAGACCCAGGCTAAGACCATGTTATTTTTTAGCAAATGGAGTTTTAGCGTCTAGGCTGTCTTCACGCTCCCTCGTCCCATCCCTCTTTTCACTGTGTGAGTTTCTGTCCAGTTATGATGACCATAAAATGGTTAAAGGGTTACTTTCTTTCCTTGCTGTGGATGGAGCGAGGGTCAGTGAGGGTGGTGAGTCATGACTGCCTTCGCTTCAGCCACAGCGGGACCCAGATGTCCTTTGCAGTCCTCGTCTGGCAGCTGGTCAGCCACTTTGGCCCTGAGCTTTTGTCCACTAACTTTAACCTGGCTCTGTTTAATTTTTCCGATCTGTATTTTTAACTTCCTCCTCATATTTTTATCTATTCATTTTATCTTGCTCTATTTATGGATTTGTAGAGTATAAATAAGCAAAGATTGGTGTGAGTAGGCCTTTAAAAAAAATCACATGGCCCAGTGTCCCAAAATCACATGTAATACTCTCACCATGTGACAAAGCTTTGTAGAATGATAACAAAATCATGGTTTTTAGAAATAGCAGTAGAAGAACTTTGTCTTCATTTATTGAATTTTTTTAATCACCTGTAAGCCACTGGATTCGTATCTGCCTCCTCTTAGGGACCTGCCACATTGGTACAGTTTTTATGGGTGCTGTGGTCGGGGGCATGCCAGGACATCGCATCCAATGTAAGAGACAGATTTTTGCATCTTACCCCTCCCACCACAAAGACAAAAGAGCAAAGCCTGACGAGTGCATTTGAGTTCTGGCAGCAGCATATTCCACACCTGGGAATACTGCTTCTCCAGGACACCATTCAAAGGTTACAGCTCTGAGGAAGGACCAGAAAAAGAAAGGTCTCAGCATCAGGTCTAGGTTGCAGGCCATACGAGCCCACAAGTTTTCTGGTATCAGAGGTATCAGCGGTGGGAAAAGATGTCATGTGGAATTCGTGATAAGCCAAAGTGGGAAAATCACAGTGTAGACACCCATGGTTCTGGAGCAGAGCTCTGCCATCTGCAGCAGAGAACTCTACAACTTTTTCACAATAGCTCTAGCATGTCATGGGGACCTGGTAGAGACAAAGCGAGCACCTAACCGTGGGACACCAACTGACGACCACTTAGCCAAAACAGCCCCTCGTGACTGGGTTCTGTCTGAAGTGCCATGTCATACCATGGGATAGGCCAAGGCGCCATCCACTGTAAGACTGGACTGGTACCTCTCGGGTCAGAGCAGGACCAGAGGACACAGTCAAGCTGCACAGGAGCTCCACGTCACCCACTGTTCCCGCACCAGCACCTCCCCATCAGCCCATGCCTATGGCCATGTGGTGGATCCTTTAGGATCAGCTGATTGAAGAGGAAGGAGCTCAAGCTTGCTTCATGGCTGGACCAACTCTGCATGTGGGTACCAGTTGCAAATGGACAGTGTCTGCACCACAGCTTTATTCAAGGTGGTCTTGAAAGACAATGGCAAGGGAAAGTCTCAGGTGATGTCCCTCATGGGCAGTAGCAAATGGCTTGACCGAATGAATAGTTAGAGGCTTAGAAGGGAAGAAATAGGCAGATGGGCAACAAGGAGCTCTGGAGTAGAGATATGCATGGACCTTTGCGAGGGCACAAAGATCTTTGTACACATGTTAGCTCCTGCAAGAGAGAGGCATTAAGCATGCAGGTAGACAAAGCAACTAACCAACCGACAGCAGCCAGCATCTGTCATCAGCCATTGCATTGTTGGCACAACAGGCACATGAATAGAAGAGCCATGGTGGCAGGGATGGAGGCGGTACAGGCCGACTAATGTGGGAACCCATTTACCAAACTTTTCTAGTTACTGCTACCGCCAGATGCCTAACACCCCAGCAGCAGAGAGTGACGCTGAGTCCCCAGTACAGCACCATCTCTCAAGGAGACCAGCCAGACCCTCTGGCAGACTCTTTGGACACCTTCTATCCTGGAGGAAACAGCAATTCATTTTACCATGAATGGACACATATTCTGGATATGGGTTCACATTTCCTGCCCGTAGGGCCTCAGCTAGCACCACAATCCAAGGCTTACACGGTGTTAAACCCACTGCCATGAGATCTCATGTAACATCACATCACACTAAGAAACACACTTTTCAGCAAAGGAGTTGTTGGAATGGGTACACGACCGTGGACTCCACTGGTTCTATCTCACTCACACTGTACCATCCAGAAGCTGCCAGCCAGAGAGAGCACAGCGTGGACAGATCTGTCGAAAGCTTAGCTGATGAACTACTCAGAGGTGAAACTTTGTGAGAATGGAGCACTGTTCTCCAGGAGGCAGGGAGAGCCTTAAATCAAAGACCTTTATATGGCGCTGTGTTCACAATGGGTAGAAAACACGAATTAGGAATGAAGGAGTAGAGGCAGAAGTGGTCCTGCCAACCATCACTCCCAGTGACCTACCTGAAGAATTTGGGCTTCTCATCCTCATGATACTGGGTTCTGTGGTTTTTGAGGTCCTGGTTCCTAAAGGCAGAATGCTTCTGACAGGGGACACAGCAACCATCCATTGGACTGATCAGTGGGCCCTTATAGCTCCTTGCACCAAGGGGCCAACAGGGAAGAAGAGGAGTCACTGTCTTGAAGGGATAATTAAGCCTGGTCATCAGGAAGAGAGAGGGCTACTGTTATACACAGGGAGGGGAGGAATAGCATAGAACCTAGATGACATACCTGGGCTCCTCTTGGTATGCTCTTCTCCAGCTTTAAAAGGATATAGACTGTAGCCTGAGAGGCCAAGGGCTCAGAACCATTAGGGATGAGGGACTGGCCTCACCACCAGGAAAGCCGCTGAAATCAGAAGAGGTGCTTGTTGAGAGTGAGGAAAAATTTTCAATGGATAACAGAGGAGAGAGAAGATGAATATCAGCCGTCACCCCGAAACCAACTGTGATATCAGGACCTATGATTTGTCCCACTAATCTTCCTCTTCTAAGTTCCCCCTAGGGACAGATGCTCATTGATAAGTTAGAGGAGCTTTTCCTAGACATATAAAAAGAGTATCCAAGTGTCACAAAGGGTGCAGGGTAGTGGATGTTTTGCTGCATTGCCCAGATTCCCATTCAGGAATAAAGGCCTTATTCCCCAGCCCCTGGGGGTGCTGTCAGAAGATGGCCCTTAGCTTGTGGGGTTTGCCCCACCTAAAAAAAAACTGCCTGGTGATCTCTGATGGCTGATAAAGAACCTCACGCCTCTTTCCATGGATGATCTGTGTTGAATGACCCTCTTGTCCTAATCTGAGATAACTCTAAAAGGCTGCCTCAGGTTCAGAGCCTGATGGGCTGTCTGATGTTTTCACTGAGACTGCATCACATCTCAGCCCGTCCCTGTGTCTCATCCTGCTTTCCTCATTTCCCTTCACAAGTAATGGTCCCAAGAGCATTCCTTAAAAAACTTCACCCTGGGAACATGACCTACAACAGCCAGTAAAACTTAGGTTATCAACAGATGACAAAATTTGTATTCATAGGCCGGTGAGGTCCACAGATGAAAATACTTTGGTTATAAAAAGTAGGCAATTTTATTAATACTAAACTATCATTATGAGCCTCTGGCTAGTTGCCAATTGTTTTTGATCAAATGTGCATATATGTAGCAAAGTGAACACTTTTTGAGAATTGCTAAATATATTTAGTTTGGACACATTTCTCTTCAGATGCCACAGTTCCAACTGTAATTTTGATTCTCAGTTTGAATGGTAGGATTTTTGCCATTTCATAAAGGAGAAAGCATTTTCACAGAGCTCAGTAGATGCAAACATTTCCCAGAGTTTTGATACATGGTCATAAAGTTCAGGAGAATTTGTGGATTCAGATATTTATTTCTAGAATCCTAAGTTTTTGTGCCTTCTTTGTGTACATGTTTTGTTTTGTTTTTTTCAGCCCAATAAGTTCTTGAAACTGAACCACACTGATAAAGCAAATGCTTAATAATTCAGATACATGCTGAGGTTTGCATTCCATGGGCAACTGCAGGAACTTAAAAACATGATTCATTTTTATCAAACTCTATGAATCTTTTCTTGAATTATGACTTTATATTCACCCAATAGCGGCTCTATATGCTCTGTAAAGGTTTGGGGGAGCTCAGAGCAGATCAGGAAAGTGGAATCCATATGTCCCCAGCTGCCATCTGTTTGCTCATGTGCTTAGACAAATCATCACAGCAAGTTTTTCTTCCTGCCATTTCAAGTTCAGGTCTTGTCTCATCAGCAAGAAAGTCCCATCATGGAAGACTTTGGGAAAAGAACGAGGTGGTTCTTCTATATTCTTTCATGACCAAAAGTTATTGGTCTGAGGAAGGAGTTCGGAAAAGCTTTTCAACAAGTTTACACAAGTTAGCACTCTAATTACACTAAACAGGATAAGTTTTCACACTGTGGCAGATTCTTCTGGACAGCAGATACTGAGTATCATTAAGGGACAAGTGCAGAGAAAATGTACACATTTGATCATTTGCTGACACTCCTCGTGTAATGAGCCTGAGTGGCCATGTTCACAGGCCACTTCTTCCGACAAAGGATACAGTGGAAGGTGGGCATGCATGCCTCTGCTTTTGATTTGAATAAAGAATTGAGACGTTTCTTCTCTTTTCATGATCTTTCCGAGGCAAGTGACCTAGCTTTTCCACTTCATTTCGAACTTCTCATGCCTTTTACTAAAAGGGGCATATGAGCTAATTCACAGTGTAATTTTGTCGTCACACCTGGTCCCAGGTAGGCCACGCCTCCCCTTTTATCCCCCACCTTCCTACTATCCCCAGCTCTGCCCTTCACGGTTTGGATAGCTGGTTAGCTCTAAAAGTCTCTGATTTAAAGGACTGTGAGAAGAAACCCCTTCGCTCTCCCCAGCTTTGAAGGCAGGGCACGTGAGCACACTGCACGCCTTCTGTGAAGAGTGCCTCAGGCACGGGGAGCAGTGGGGGAGGCGGCATGGTGGGGAACGGAGAACAAAGCAGCCAGGGGGAGTGATTTAGCCCTGGTTCTGTGAGAGCCTGAGTCAGAGCTTACTTTATCTGGGCCCGTGTGTTTTCTCAATTACGTTAGGCCATCTCCCTCAGATGGCCTTCACAATTGATTTAGCCAGCGCCAGGGGGGTTCGTCCTCGAGAATATTGAGCTCAGCCCTCCTGTTTGCCTCATCAGTATGCATTTTGATGTCAAAATACTTGCAGTAGTACTTTTCCTCTTCCTTTCAAAAACATTTGCACTTTCCCCTGGACTTTTCCATTGAAAAGGCTGCTGTTTAACTTAAGAGTAAACTTTTCCAATATTGACAACTTTGTCTTTCTGAGCTCTGATTAGCCATTAGGTGGACCATCTATGTCTTGGGCTTCTCCTACAACATTTTTAAGTGCTATGAAGCCAAAGGCACTTGGGGTGGGCGCTGGGATCAGGGAAAGCAATCCAGAGATGATGTCTGTTCAGAGTCCTGAGGACAGTAAGAATTTACTAATCCATTTACACTCTTCCAGCTAACGATGGGGCCATTTGCCATCTGCTCCCA